CTAACTCTAAGTTGAATTCCACTCATTTCATCAGCAATAAGCCTATTTAGATATTAAAGAAGTGTGTAGAAACACAATGATCACATCTCACCACCACTGGTATTTCATGAGCTGAACATAGTGAGGACGAAATTGAAAAACTTAAAGGAAGACTGCAAGGGTCATATCAATTTGGCTTGATCGAATGGAGCAAAAGATTGATAGGTTGGTTGAATCGACTGTAGCTGGTTGATTTCATTTAGAAATAAATGTATTTGATGGTGCTATTAGTAGTATAGCTAATGTATTGAAAACTTGACCAAAGGGCAAGGTAAAAAAAGAGGTTCAGTTGCTGATACGATGATGAGCCTGAAAATGAACACAAAGTTAGGAGATGAAATAGAGAATATATAGGGTAAGAAAACAAATTGAGGTCGGACATGACAATGTGATGGATGAGTTTGAGAAGGAATCAAAGTTAGAAGAGAAGGCAGGAAAAGAAACAGTAGCGAAAAACACACTGAGAAGAGATAGTGGTGGAAAACAAATTGGAGAAGATAAAAAAGATGACAATCCGATTGAATACGTGGCAAAGAAATGTCCGCTAATTTTTTAATCCAAAGAAACCCTAGGAAGATGCAAACAAATCCAGTAAAGGTATGTAAATAACAATTTAATATTCTGTATGTGACATTGTGCGGATCCATTCGGAGGAACAAACAATATTTATGTTTGATAATCTGAAGGATCACGTTCCCAGGGCAACTTTGGAAATTTACATTCTATCTCTACAGGGGGTTATACCTTTGTAATAAAATTGCATCTCAAAAGTGATGACAAATATAGTGCGGAGAAATCCAAATTTGTGACGATGAAAGATGTTCCTCAACAAGAAAATGGATAAGGTTGACTAATATTATATTTGTTAAGTACTGTATTATTTTATTATTGAGAATTAATATATTTTTACTTTCTTACTATCGAGAATGTATCATCCACATAAATTACCTACTGTATCGAGGTGAGGAATCCACGTATACTCGATCCCAAGGCCATAAAAAAATACTTGAAATGTCGATCATCAGTAGTATGGATGAATGTCACCGTGCTAAGATTTTTCACCTCCAAAACATCACAATATGATAGCAATTACCATAACTTTTGCGAGGTTTTCCACGAATCACATTGCAAGCAAAACTTTTATGCCACTCTCTCAGAAAATGTTGTTAATGATGATCCTTTGATCTATAACTCAGTTGGCATATTAATACTTAGGGATGATGTGGTTTCCAATAACCATGTACCAAGCATGCTTATGGTCTCAGCGACGAACATTCATGGAGTAAGGAGTGATCAACATCGTACTTTCGAACTTCAAAAATAGGATTTTCTTTGATCTTTGTTGCCCACAAGTGTGACTTTCAATTTTCCTCAATACAAACACATATATAAGTGCTCTTATTTGATTTCTTAACTTTCTGCTCAAAGTGATACTTCACAGCCAGTAATTGTAATTTTGATGTTATGTCATTTTCAGTTAGAAACAATAGGTTGACTTTCATATCTTTATTTTTTGGAATTCTTATTTGTATCCTACAATGGAACAAACTTACACTTGCTGATACAATTTGACTACAATCAACTTGTTATCATTTACTACTATTCAATCAGGTGTAACTCGGTATACTTGTCGTTTGCTACTGGAGAATTACCTTCGCCATCTACTCTTTCGAGACTATATTGAGTTACGTCAAAACCATTGCAACATACAAACATTCCATCACCATTGTCGTAGTTGCGATCATTGTACTTTGAACAATTTCCTCCTCGCTGTTCCTATTTTCGAATTGTTTTCCACCCTCTATTAGCAATAAACATCCATCATCATCAAATTCTTCGTGGTTTTCAACAACTTCATTTGAAAATGTTATGCAAAGAAATGTTTCTCTACAGACAGATACAAACCACTTCACATTGCTGTCACAATTAATGATAGTTGGTACAATTGGAGCTTTATACATTATAGGGAAAAGAGCTGACATTTCCATTTTTTATAACCTTGTATTGACCTTCAACACCTCTTTGACTTTATTATACAGGTCAATATAAGAAATTATTTTTGACACAAGAATGGACATTGTTTTTCTTTGCCATTCCATGCATATTTTCATTTTTCATGCACCTTCAATTGATTGTTCATATTCAATTGGATAACAAACTAATATCTATGTCATATCCACAGTGTTCATAGTTGCAATTTAATATAAAAATTTGAAAATTTCATCAAATATCAAACTTCGTACAGGACTGATAATGAGATGTATGTCATTATGGGCAGCAAAAAATGAAATGTAAGTCATTATGGGCAGGAAAAAATGAAATGAAATAATGATATGTATGTTTCACAATAGAATAATAGATAGAATATCCAAACACGTATTTACCAATATACATTTCACTTCAACTATTAGAAATAAGGGATAATAAGAACATGTTGGATATATATCTATATCAAAGCTCTTGTCCAATGCTAAAATGAATTCAAAGTCATTATTGAAAAATGAACACCATAAACACAAATCATAACAACATGAAGAAATGATTCAGAAAATGGGAGAAAGCAACTAGCCTAAATGTTAAAATTTAACAATACTATCTCTTTTTCTTTAAATGCCAAAAAAGAAGCTTAGATTACTTGTTTCAACCAAATGAGAGTTAAAGTGAATGACAATATAGATTTTAGGGTTTCATGAAAGAGAGAAGATGATGATAAGGAAAGGCAAAAAAATTAAATAGAGACGTTGACCTTTAGCAAGAACAAAGGAACCTAAATTTGATTTTAGTTCTTAATGGGAGTATAAAAGGGAAATTAGGGCAATAATATCTTTTATATACAGGACATTTTAGTTATTTACAAATTATATTTTTCAATAAATATTATTTTTTAAGCATTCTAACTAAAAACATAGTTATTGGGCTTTATAAACGAATTTGTACTTTGACTAGACCTTTAAAATGAATATCCCATTTCTTTTGCGGGTTAAATACATCGATGACCACCAACTTTATATTTAGTGTCACTACGGCCACTTAATTTGATTTTGTTTCACTTTCGCCATCCAACTTTATATTTAGTGTCACGATGACTAAGCGTGATGCGTGGTTTGGGTCGATTTTAACTTCAACTCGAAACTAAAATCAAATTAATCGGTTTGGATGAATTTCAATCCAAACCATTTCACTCTAGCCCTTAAATCGAGCCAAACCAAACAAATGTTAGGTTCGATGAGTCGGTTTGGACTTTTTGTTCAAATTGAATTTTTTTCAAAAAAAATTGTCGGACTTTTAGACATGCTCATATATTATAAGGACAAAAATAATTAAATAACTTTATATTACAAAAACCATTGACTAATAAATAAGATCAAGTTAATAGAGACATATCAACAAAAACTTAAGAATTTTATTGCTTTTTATGCATTATGTAGTCTAACTGTCCGAGTAGGAAAAAAATGCTAAGTATAGCATAATGAGCTTGTGAAAGGAAATTATCAATGCTATTAGTTATTGGTAAAATTATAGATTGGAAGAAATCTAGATATAGTTATGAAAGATTATGGATTACTTTTTTATTTTTATTTTTATTGAACAAAAGATAAACATGTAAGTGGGTTGGGTCGGTGCCATTAACTAGTGGTTTGAGGTTTCAAACCATAACTAAATCGATCTAATATTGTTTTATGTTAAAAAAATCAAACCAAACTAATTACCCTTGTCAAACAAACCAAAACTGACTCGAGCCAGTTTTGTTTGATTGATTTGGTTGGTTTTTTGATTTTTTGTCCAGACCTAATCATGGCCACACAATTTAATTTTATTTCAACATGATTGCCTAATTCTATATAATGTTTCATTATGGTCACCCAATTTCATATAACGTTTTTACATGAACATTCAACTTGCTTTCACTATTTTTGCTAATTTTAAAATGGGTAAAACAGTAACTTTGTATTATATATAAAAACTAACTTTTAAAAAAATAAAATAAACTTATTTAAAGAAAATGTTACTTAAAAAAATAAAAATAAAAAATTATTTTACAAAAATTTTACTTAAAACAATAAAATAAAATAAAAACTTATTTTAGAAAAAAGTTTATAAAATAAAATAAAAAATATTTTAAATTTTAGAAAAATAAAATAAAATAAAAGTTTGTTTTAAAAAAAGTTCCTCAAAAAAAAAAATGAAAACTTATTTTAAAAAAAGTTACTTCAAAAAATAAAATAAAATAAAAACTCATTTTAAAAAACGTCTAAAAAAATAAAAAAACTTTTACTTTTATTTTTTTAAAATTCATTTTACATATATAATGCAATGTTACCATTTTAAAATTTGTAAAAAGGGTAAAAAGAAGTTGAATGGTAATAATGAAATGTTATATAAAATTGCGTGCTTACGGTGAAATAAAATTAAGGCCCCATTTGGTAGCCATTTTTTTCAAAATTCATTTTTCACTCTCTTCTTTTCAATCACACATTCTTTATTGAAATAATATTACACGTAAATCAAAGATTTTTCCTTATTTTTCAACCACATATTTCACATCAATTTACTATTCTAAAATGCACTTTTACATAAAAATGCCTATTAAACACCCCTTAAGAGCATGTTTGGTAAGGATTTTAATCCAATTAACATCAATTTTTTGATCGTTATTTCACTATTCCAATCGTCATTTTTGAATTCTTCTATCACAAATAGGACCCACTTTGTGCTTGTTTGTTACAAATTAAAAAAAAATTAAAATCAAAATTTTGACCGTTATTTCACTATTCTAACTATAATTTTTGAATTTTTTTCTCATATATAGAATTCACTCTAACTTCAACAATCAAAAAATCAATTATCAAAATCTCTACCACACAGACTCTTTGTCTCTGACGATCAAAATCAATTAACAAATTCTCGACTAAACAAGCACTAAATTGCCTGGCCACAATAACAACAACTAGTGACAAAATTAAACTGTATGGCGATGGTGTAAATTTAGACCTTTCTTTTGCTTTTACCCTCCGAAACGTTTTCCGACGGGAGACTCCCCCTTACAGAAATGGACTCGTACACTTTATTGTTGGAGAAAACCCGAGTTCCCCAACCCTCGCTCCAAAAACTCGCTGTAATCTCAATATTCGACAAGCTCCGATCCGCGCCGGCGCGGCTAAATCCGGACTCCGACCCCGGGCGAGAAGCCATCACTCGATGCCTCCACTCCACCTCCGCCGCCGTCGTCGACCAATCGACTCGAGAATTATGTCGTCTCGTCAAGGACTCAAAATTGGACCTGCTAACTGGGTTGTTGGAGCTCCAGTCCGCCCTCGAAGCCTCCAATCCTCGCTTCATCAATCTCTTCATCAAAGCCATAGGATTTTTAACTACATTAGGCTTCCAGAATGGTCACTCTTCCTTCCGCCTTTTTTCCTCGGAAACTCACCCATTCGTGAAGGTGAACTAATTCTTCCAGGAAAGCTTGAACTTTTAGACGGAAACTTGCTTAACTCTGGTCACCACTTATTGAAAGTTGTGCATGCTTTCATGGGAAAAATGGAGGGGGCATGTTGAATACAAAATTTGGATGGATACATGTGCCCCTTCTAACAGATTATGCTTTTAGTCAAGATGGTGGTTAACATAATTAATCACACTGAATTCCTAATTTATAAGCATTGTTATTTTATATCCACTGCTGATTTTAGATTGCACCATCTGCATTAAGCATCCCACTAGCCCCATGATTTAGTTACTTGCAATCTAGGTTATTCAATCATTTACACTGGCGTAGTTAAGTGTATGAATTTTTATGTTTATGGTTGCAGATACTTACTTGTGGAGTGGAAGTGCATTGTGAACTTGCAAAACAAGTGATTACTTTTATGGTGAAGAGCAAGCATTTGGGAATGGAGGATGTTTGTGAATTCTTGAGGCCTTTCTTATATTATTTGATCATAAAAGTTTCCATCACGAGCTCTTATACTCTCTTCATGAGGAACTTAGTGTCCTCATTGGCGTCATTTTGTTGTTTATTTCCTCGAGAGGCCATCCCTGTATTTAAGCTGTTGATAGGATGTCTCAAATACTTTCCATGCAAGAATGCAGAAGTAAGTTAACTTTTTGCAAGAAATATAGGTTTCTATATTGTTTATATTCTATAATGAAATATGACAGTGCCCTAAAGTTTTAGGAACTGTTAAATTATGCTATAATATTCATTTTCCCCATAAACCCTTTGCTTTTTTGCAGGAATTTACAGATGTTTCTTATTTTGTTGAATGCTCGATAGACGCATATTTGGTGGTATTGAGGCAGTTGGTCGGATTGGGATTGGTATAATTTTGATTCATTAAAAATCAATGACTTGGACATATATGCATTACCTAATTATTTGTCTGACCTTGTTGATTGCATTTAATAAAAACTATTTATTGTTTCTGGTATTGTCAGCTTGTTGAAGAAGCTCAATTATGCGGTGTCGAACTGCTGGAAGCAATTTTGTCTCTACATGGAGATTTTCGCCCCTACTCTAGTGGTGTTGAGAAAATTTTAGAAGTATTGTGGCGCGTATTGGCTGTGCAAAAAGAGCTTGGCCTAAATTATATTACTGAATTGAAATCAGTGATACTATCCTTGTTCATAATTTTCATTCAGTCTGAGCTCGAACATGAGCAATATTCCATTGTGAAACTGGTTCTCTATCTTTTGAGATGGAAAAGTGAAAATGGTATGATTACTTCAGCTGTCTTGGTTATTCTGTTGTTTGTTTTGCTTTGACAACCTGTAAAATGGCGACACCAAACGGGTAAAGCAACCAGCATATTTAAACTGTGATGCATGTAAAGTTGGCAGTGCTTTGTTGTTCCAGCTAGCAGTGGTTCTACGATGTTGCGTAGTAGCATAATTGTAACCAATTACTGCTGCTTGAACATTGTAATCCATTGTGTTCGTACCCAAGTCTGATGGTTTGGACAAACTGCAATATTGCCCATGATGTTGTTATAGTGTCCTCAATCACTTGGCGAGTGCATATAACTTGTAATGTTAAAAATAGCACCAATTTTTTTTCACTCCCTGATATGCTCCATGAATGATTATCTTTTTAAGCTCTTTCTGAATTTGTTTCTACTGCTAAATATGATGTTTTACTTGCTGCAGCAGAATATAATGTTGGTGCTTCTACAAATGAGCTGAGTGAAGAGCTCTTATTCATTTTTCCTGTTGTCAACCTTGTTTCCTCTCCATGTATGTCTGTTAAACAAGTGGCAACTGATTTGCTCTCTGTTTTGGGGAAGTCTGCAATGACTTTGCTGACTGCACCAAAGGCAAAGCAAGCTGTTGAAGGACTGTATCCGTTCATTACTTCGCCTGGATGGATCATATTTAGGCTACTGCGGAATTTATGGTTCCAGGTATAGTTAATTTATCTTATACACGAAATCTAATCCTATGTACTTTCATTTTGGTTAAATGATCTATAACTACCATTGCTAAGCCGAAACATACGTGTGATATTTTCTTCTTGAATTCATGAATCTATTTCTACTGCTTTTGCTGGCTTCTAAGTTTCTTATCCTTTAAACGAGTAAAACGATACTTGTTTTTGCTCTCTAATTCTATCATTCACCATATGTTACGTGCTCTATGTGATGGATGTTTGCTTCTAACTATTTTAATCCTCATCTCCATTTGAGTGGTATTTGTTGATATAGGATATGTTTGACACAATAATTTGAGGTCTCTAATTTTATTATTTCACTAGGCTTTTGAGAAAACTTGTCCTGAAATAAATTTTCTTGTTTATCTCTCATTCCCTCATGGATTGAACTGTATTCCATAGAAAGTATCAAAAGTTTGATCTCCCACTTTTCTTAATTATGAAATGAAACTTTAATTCTATTAGGATTGTTCATGCATATATCTTAGCACTTGGACGTGTTTTACTTCCTTCTTCCCAGCCCTCTTTACGTTACAGGTTAGATTTTGGCCTAATTTGTAGTTGCTGATGACTTCGTGAAGGAAAATCCCTTAACAAATGTTTTAGGGATTTATGCCAAATATGATTTCTTGTTTTAATACGATTTTAGGATTTTATTTCTTCTTTTTTTTCTTGATTAGAATATGGTCTTTTCTTCTTTTTAGATTAGGATTCTATTTTCACTCCTAGGATTTTATTTACTTTAGTCATTAGGATTAGGGAGTTAAAGTATGTGTCGAACTCACCAACATGCAATTTTTTGAAGAAGTTTCGACATGATACGTCGTCGATACACTGATAAAAATATTATTTTTTTAAACTTATTTTAATTTAATTGTCTAAAGTAATATTTTTTTTATACTTATTGTATCATATACATAAATAATTAAATAATAATTAAAAACCAAACCTGACATTAAGGCCCCGTTTGGGAGTATTTTTCACCCCAAAAAATTGATTTTTTGACTGTTATTTCAATATTCCAGCCCTAAAGTTTGATTCTTCTCTCACAGGTGGCCCCTACTTTTCTCCTAATGGTCAAAAAATCAATTTTTTTGGGGTGAAAAATCACTCCCAAATGGCCCCTAAATTCATACATGTTTCTTGATAATACAAGTTGAAAAAGTAAAATCGAAATTAATTATATCATTCTTCTTGAACCTCTTCAACATCTTCATCTACATCTCCATCTCCATCATCTGCAAATATTATCTCCTCCAATTCCGTTTCGTCTAGAGACAAATTAGCAACTTCAAGCACACCAACATCTTCAAATGTATCAAACTCATTTCCACTGATATCCCACATTTTAGTCTCTCTCTGCGAGTATTTTGCACTCCTCGTTGACAAGTGACGAAGATTGATATGGATGAATACTAAATCTTTTGCACGTTTTGGAGTTAGCTTATTCCGTTTAGGAGAATGCAAAAAGGACTAAATACTCCAATTTTGCTCACAACAAGATGAAGAATCTTGGTTGCCCCGCTAATTTCAAGGCATGACTTTGAAGTATAGGTGTGCAAACGCCATAAATAACCCACCAAGCCTTCGTGCCCAAGCGGCAACGATCATAGAAAGATTCAAAATCACCAAAGTCGTCTTCTAAATTTGAGAATTTAGCACACTCCTTATTCACTATATTATGCTCTTCATTTGACAAGGACCTCTTGAGTCTTGAAGAATTTTATTCTTTCTCTTGAAATCTCTACTTCTTTCTATGGAGCAAGTCGAGTGGGATCTTCACTAATCCATTCCTCGCTATAGTACCTATACAAGAGAAAAAAAATTAAAGAAATGACTATTCATTCAATAACTAATAAAAAATATTAAACATTATGAAAATGTAAATAAACAACAAATGTATTAATTAGATTTAAAAATTGCCTTGGATTTAGAAAATCAGACAAGCGATGAAGTGGAGTGTTATTTTTGTTCTAATGATCTACAAGTATCCGATGAATAATATTGTAGAATGATGATTACTCTTCTTGAACTTTTTTCTCGTGCTTGTATATTATTCCTCTTACTTTCTTAGTCATTGTATCTCACATGTCGCAAACCAAGTGAAGGCAAGGTTTATCTGTATCACAAAATCTAAGCATGTCATAAATGGGAGAAGTAATGGAAAGAACATAATAGAGTTCCACCAAAGATCATCAAGCACTCAGTTTCACAAAACTTGCCTTTGTCATGTCATCTTCTCGATAAAATGACCATTTTTCACTAATAACCAAAGCTTGAAGACCGCGTTGGATAAGCTTAAATCTTTTTAATATGACTAATATAAACAAATTGTGTCTCCGCTACGAGCAACTTCAATGGCAGAAATTCATTAAACATTGCTAGTCTCATAAAATAGTTCATGATAATTTTTTTACAATCGTTGCATCATCATGAAGACTAGTAATCCAATTGCATTCCTCATATGAATCAAATTATTTTCAACATTCTTTGCGGCACAACTGTCCTTCAAAGCAAGATTTAGCGTGTGTACAACACATGGTGTCCAAAAAATATGAGGATATTCCAATTCAATTATTTACCTAGCACCTTTGCAATTTAGAGCATTATCGGTTATTACTTGAACCACCTTTTCATGACCAATTTCATTTATTACCTCCTCCATCAAGTTAGTAATAAAATACTTACATTTTTTTCACCGGAGCAATCAACCGCTTTCAAAATATTGGTCCACTCTTGGTCACTGTCATAAATTAATTAGTGGCCTTCTTTGTGGACCACTCCATCCATCATTTACAATGGTAACTCCTTTTTCTGCTTATGTGCCTTTTTTTTTTATGACTATGGGTGTTCGGGCCAATTTACGCGCACCTCGATTAATCCCATGAGGCCTTGAAGTTTATAACTAGATACTCACCTCAGTAACTCTGAGGAGACTCGAACTGGTGATTATTGAGGAGCAAACCCAAGGTCTGATCATTGGGCTGCCTTTCAGGGTTGCCTATGTGCCTTTTAATTGGGTTTAATAACATTTTCGCATTTTTTTTCTCTTTTTTTGAAGAAGAATAGTTTTTAACTTATTATAATCGGGAGGCAAATACCTTGAAATTCGACTATTGAAAGCAAGAGTGTAAGAACTAATGTAATAAGGATTTTTTGTAAAAGGCAAACCACTTGAATAAAACATTCTAGCAATTTCAGAATCCAACTGGTCACATATTGTCATATTAAAAACATTTTCTATTGCATTATTCTTTTCTTTTCCTCCAAAACATAACAATCCTTAGAACTCATATTATCCGACAGCAATGGTACTCTTTTCCCCACCTTAGGTTGCATTCTCAACTTGGCTTTATCTTCCATTTTTTGCATTTCACATATATCTTTTATAGTCACTTTTTTACAAGCCCTAGTTCCATAACCTTGTAATTTTTCCAAATGTGCCCTCACTCTTGTGTATGAACTTGTCTTAGTTGTATTACAGAAATTGCATTGCCAAAGAATGTTATCACCCTTTTCATTAAATTTATCAAGTTTGTAACATATTTCCCAAAAGTTTTAGTTAAATCATCATCTCTTAGCATTACCACTCATAATTTCAAAAGAAGAAAACTTCAAATAGTCAAATAAGATAAGAGTGATATTACTTGAAACTTGAAAAAATATATTCTTCTTGGCCTTGCAAATGATCCTTGAAATATGGATTGATGAAATTTTTGAAGAAGATGAAATATTAAAGAAAAATTTGAAGTGGATTTTGTTTAATCTCTTGCAATTTTCATAGGTTACTGCGAGGAAGAAATGTACTTGACTTCTTATGTAAGTTTTATTTTTTATTGGAGGGTAAAATGGTAAAAAATTAATTTGCATAAAATTTTACCTATTTTTTTTTGTTAAGGAATAAGGTTTGTGAAAAAAGGTAAATTACATATATACTTAAAATTTTTTTTACAGGTGGGCCTAACAATTTAAAAATTACATTGGTTTGCGTAAATCCACTGATTTTTCATTTCTTTCTTGCAGCAGTCTCTTCATTTCCTTTTTCTTCTTTCGTCATTTCTTCCCTATACTTCTTCACAGGTATTCATCGGTCACCGTCCATTTCTTCTTCATTTTTTTCTCCTATCTATTTTTCTTACTGATTTTTTCAAGCCATCTGCCTTTCCTCATCTCCGGCACACCTTAAGGAACTCGATACGCATAGATGACGTGTCGGAGGCATAACGGAGTCCGATACGTTGACGTTAGGGGTGAATATGGTTCGGTTTGCACTTTATTTTCAACTCAAACCATTTTATGCGGTTTGAAATTTTTTCAAATCAAACCAAACCATTTTATTTTTCAAATCAAACCAAATCAAACCAAACCATTATTTGCGGTTTGGTTTAAATTCGCGGTTTATCTATTGACATTATAACAATATATTTAAAACAAGTTAACATATAAATGTAAATGAGAACTAATAATGTTAAATGTTAAATTACATTTATATTTGTCTAAAATTCGATATATAAACAAAAAACATATTATCAAGTTAGCATCTAGCAACAGGCACTCCGCTCAAACTTTTGTGAGCAATAATATCAAAATAAGTACAAGAGTACTAACCTCTCATTTGATAAAAATTGGATCACTACTCCTTGTTGTAGAACATGATTCGGCCTCTGCATGATACACAAATATCAAATTATTTATTAGTCCTTATTAATGATATTAACAAGCAACTAAGAAACAATTTGAATAAAAATATCAAAACTGATAATAGAAAATAAATGTCACCTTCTACTGCTTTTTCCGAGTCATTCAATGATTCTACCTCATCCAAATATTGGCGAAGCACTATAGGTTCATTGCTGCTATGCAATCAATTCTTCGTACATATTAAGGCCTCAACCATCTTTATTCTTTGCACTCAATGAACTCCTAAAGGAGTCAAGAATCCGACCACTCGTGGAAAATGCCGACTCTGAAGGA